AAAAAAAAAAAAAAAAAAAAAAAAAAAAAAAAAAAAAGCTGCGATCGCGATCTGCGGCGGCAATTCGGCGGGAGGTCCTTCGCTCCCAGGCGGAGTGAGGGACCGTCTGCCGAATTGCCGCCGAATACCTGGACGTGCCGCCCCTCTCCGGAGCTGCCGCCCCAAGTACCTGTTTGACAAGCTGGTGCCTGGAGCCGGCCCTGGCCAAACACATTCTAGACTTTTTCATATTAGGATTATGATGTGCTGTTACCTAAAACATACTAACACGCACATGTCTAAAATCCACTGTAAACAAGTCATAGACAATTGCCATCAACAGCTGCCAAAACTGGTCAAGTGCTTTGTCTATAATACATTTTAAATACTATTAGTTACCACAGGTGTTCTCAACCTTTTTCTTTCTGAGGCCCTGCCAACATGCTATAAAAACTCCATGGCCCACCTGTGCCACAATAACTGGTTTTCTGCATATAAAAGCCAGGGCCAGTATTAGAGGGTAGCAAGCAGGGCATTTGCCCAGGGCCCCACACCACAAGCGGCCTCGCAAAGCTAAGTTGCTCAGGCTTCAGCTTCAGCCCGAGGTGGCTGGGCTCGGCGCCCCGGACTTCAGCACCATGCGATGGGTCTTCAGCTTTCTGCCCTTGGCCCCAGTGAGTCTGATGCTGGCCCTGCTTGGGGGCCCCCCTGAAACCTGCTCACAGCCCCCCAGGGTGGCCCGGACCCCTGGTTGAGAACGACTGAGTTAGCTAACATCACACTTCTGAATCCTTCATTAGATAAGACCTCAGTAGCAAGGGCTGAACTACCTGTTCAGTTACAGTTCATGGGCTGGGAATAAAAAGTTCACTGACAAGAGGCAAATTTAGCACTTTGTGTGATTTTAGTTTGTGCCTAGCTAAGTTAAATACTGCATTTAATTATTTATTATTTGTTTTAAAGTAGCATTTAGAGGCCCCAGCCGAGACCAGTTAAAGACAATTATTTTCTCTCTTTAGAATAAAAGTATGTATGAAACCTTTGTTCCTCTCCCCATCAACTTATCCTTCTGTGCATTCCACCCTGACCAATCATCTCAATCTTCCACCTTTTTTGAGACTTTTCCCTATCTGCTGTTTCATTTTGTATATTAATGCCAGCCTTCCTTCCCACTCTCCCACAATATTTAGGAATTTCATACCTCTGGGGGAAGTCTCTCCCTTGCCCACATTTCCCTTTGGAGAGTCTCTCCTCTTCCCCTTCTCTTTGGGAGTTTCTCCCTCTGCTTCATGTTCCATCTGAGGGGCGGGGCGGCTCTAGCTTTTTTGCTGCTCCAAACACGGCAGGCAGGCTGCCTTTGGCGGCATGCCTGCGGGAGGTCCCTGGTCCCGCAGATTCGGCGGCATGCCTGCAGGAGATCCGCCGGTCCCGCAGCTTCAGCGTACCCGCCGCTGAATTGCCGCCGAATCCGCGGGACCAGCAGACCTCCCGCAGGCACGCCGCCAAAGGCTGCCTGACTGCCGCCCTCGCAGGGACCGGCAGGGCGCCCCCCTGCGGCTTGCCGCCCCAGGCACGCGCTTGGAGCGCTGCTGCCTGGAGCCGCCGCTGCTGAGGGGGTCAGAGAAGCAGCTGATTCCATGAATCCTGTAAACTCAGCAGCAGTGGCAATAGCAGCAGATGTGAAGGAAGGAGGCTGAAAAGAAGCCTCATCTTCGCTCTGGTGCTGCATGGCTCAGTGACAGTACGGAGTGGAGTATGGACTCCACTCTTGCATAGCTTTGGCAATGCTGGTAGGGGGGCAAAGGGTGTGTGAGGCTGCCAAAGAGCCTCATCTGAGTCTCATTTGTGCAATATTGCAGTGCTGCCAGCTGTACAGAGGGAGGAGAGGAAGGAGGTGTTCAGTACCTGTGCCCTGTCAGGTATAAAATTCCTCCCAATGCCGGCTTCCTCTCAGATGCTCTGATGTGGGCTGGATAACTTTTGTAAACCATAGAGGGAGTTGCTAGACAGAAGAAAAGGTTGGAACTGGCTTGCAGGCCATATGTTTGACATCCCTGCCTTAAACTGTCCCAATTAACTCAAAATTTTAGCCATATTGTACGTTACTTTGTGCTTATAGTGCCTTCCACATGGTACAGTATCATGAAGTGTATTCTAGGTGATTGCAAACAATTAACTACAATGAAAATTCTTGCACAAATATTCTAACCATAACAGAACAGCAATAATAAAAGAGATAATTGAAAGTTACCATTAGATCCATCTATTAGTATATTTCTAACTTTGATTTTGATGTTCCTAAGGTTGGAACTCACTGCCAGTTAAGGCATGTAAACTACGATTATAAACACTCATGCTCAGAAAAGTCTTTTATTCATTGTTTTAGAGCAATAAACTGACTCTCCTTGCTAGATATTGGACCACACTCAACATATAATGGATTCAGAGATGTGTACAGTTTTGGACTAGAATACAAAAAATGACCTTATATGTATACACACAATCTAAAAATCAATTTTTTTAACTGGTAGCCAAATAATATGGAAACTACCTTGTACCCCAGCTAATACAATCATGCAATTCAGTAAACAGTGATTTAACAAAAGAGTCACATACTCATTTCAGTTTTCACTTGATGACTATAAGCATTAACACTTTCACTCCAAACCTGTAACTACTCAATCTCTCTGCAGGTTTTTGACCAAGTTAGCCATAAGTGCAGCTGACCCACTTATACGACATAGCTGGAGAAAATGGTACAGTACTACAATGACTTCTATCAGTCCTCTTTACCAGGACCCAGAGTGTGATGATAGCAACTGGTCCTCTTCTTAAAAGTTTCTCACCTGTGGAGCCCCACATGGATCTATTCTGTCCTTCCACCTCAAATATCTACATGAGACCACCTGAAGAATTTCAGAGGTGCCACAAACTCTGCTATCATCAGTATGCTGATGATGTCCAGATGTACATTGTTATCCAGGCACAACAATCGACATCATATATATGTCACAATGCCTACAGGTCATCACCTTAACGAACACCTAACTCAAACTCAACCCAGATAAAACTGAAGTGATCCCAGTTGGAGCAAGAGAATACTCTGAAGAACCAGCTGCAATATTACCATCCCATTCCATTGAAAATGTCTCCACCCTTTTGGCAAAGCGGCTTGAAGCCTTAGGATCCTGTAACCTAAACTGAAATTCTTCTTCCACTGCCCGAATGAGCGCCATATTTAAGCTCAAGTATATAGTAAGGCAGGGTCAGATTAAAGAATTTTTGAGCCTTGTGCGCTATAGAAATTGGGACCATCCCCACCTTCCTTAAACTAGACAGAGCATGTGATCATTGTAGTTAAAGGCCACAAATCCATTAAAACCTTTTGAGCAATGGAGAAAAAGGCTATTCTACACAGCAGAAACTCTCTTCCCTGGCAGCACTGCATAAGAAGATTATTAAAGCTTCACGGTTCAAGATAGAGTACAGTCAACTTTTTCTAAGCCCCAAAGCAAGAGCAGACAGCAGAGGAGTGCCATCAGTGCCTTTTTTATTTTTTAAAACTTTTCCGGTTTTTAATGCCTTCAGACCACACCATTTAATTACTGCATTTAATTAACTTGCACACATTTCACCACATAATAACCATTTAATTAGTTCACTCCACACCTCATTGCTGCCAGCTGATTTAACTGTGCCTGCATGGCATCACCACACTACCTGCCTTTTCCTTTCCCACATCCTCATCTCACCCCCACTCTTCTCTACCACTGCATCTCTCTAACGCCTATGAAGTCATTTATTTTACTATGCCTTCCTGAACAAAATTCTCTTTCTATTGTGCCTATGTAGGTGTCTCAAATCATTTATTAAAAAATCTAAAATGCCACTCTTAAATTTAACAGTGATCAACTTTGTATTCAAAAATGGTAAATGAACAATATGCACATATAGCAAATCAAACAATCACATTATGTTATTTAAACCCTCATCATAAACCTACCATTTATTATCACTCAGAATGAACTCAGACTATTAATTGAACTCAGATTAAAAATACTCAGGGGCAAAGGAAAGAGACCCTCTGAAAACTTTTTGATTTATTCAACTTTAATTGTTTTTGCACACCCAGTCCTTATTTTATAAAAAAGCATCAGGGTCAGTTGTGGCCCCAAATGGATCTATGTTTAACAGAAAAAAAGTGAGAGGAGTTTTCAGGAGCTCAGCTGCTTCCGTACAGGAGTTTCTTCTCAGATACAGCAAAAGGGGCAGAACACCCAGGGAAGACAGGCTAACTGTAAAGAACAAACCTCTTCCGACATTAAGGGCGCCCTCTTCTCCTATATCTATCTTCTCCTATATCCCCCAACTGGCCTGCCTTTTTTACAAGATACCCAAGCCCTGAACTTTCTATGTTGTCTAAGGGTTTGTCTAGAATAAAGTCTGTGGTCCCATTTTAACCTGAGTTAGTCACAAAACTACTTTAGGCATAACCTCAATAGGCCTCTCAAACAACCTTAAAAAAAAAGGTTGACCCCAATTCTCACATTTTGAAATACGGAGATGGGAGGGGAAAATAAGTACAACCATAATTTAATTGTTTGGAGGCAAATAGTTTTCCAGTGTGAGAGATACCAGGTGAAAACTTGTACCCACAAGAATATCCTGTGAGACAGCTTTATCTAAGCAACAGAATAGAGACAGTCCTTTTTGAAGCATATCAAAGAACACTTATGCCATATTTCAGATTTGTTAAAAAAAATTGGGTCTACTGAATATACCAGCTGTCATGGACATAAGAATTAGATGAGAACTCCAAAAAAAATTAATCAAATTCTCCGAATACTGAAACAAAATCCCTAAACTCTAATAACATGCAAAAAAAACCAGTTTAGAAAACAGATGCAACTTACTGGGTTATCAGTGGAATCGTCAGCCAGCTGTAAACCAAAGTAATCCCTCTCTGTCAAATCGAGATGTTTGAACACTATATCCAACAAAACTTGTCCCTGATCGTTTTTCTGGAAGGAGAAAAAGTCATATTGTTAAAAATCAAAGAGATCTTTAAACGGACAGACTGCTTCATGCATGCACAACACCTATAGCTTATTTAGGTGTGTTCATAAAATTTACATCCCAGAATCCACAAAATTTCTCCCAACACAATATAAATTTTAAATGGGATACTTCTCTCATTGCCACAAACAAAAGTTATTTTTCCTCAATTAAAAATGGCTACATAGGAATTTCTTGTTGCCCTCAGGAACAGAAAGTACAGTAGCTATGCAATTGTTCCATAAAGCTATTCATTTACCAACAAATTAGATGAATAGCAAAATTATTTTAAAAAAGTGACAAAATAAAGCAATAAATTAAATTGGTATTTTTAGGACATGACAGAATTCAGGTAACACTTTTCAGAACATTCCAATATCATTCTTCAATCCTAATAAATTAATCTAATATTTCATTTGCAAATCACTCTCTAGATCTAAATCAACACAATTACTGAAAAATATTTTCAGAGTTACACTGCATGGATATTTAAACAGCTGTATGAATTTTTGATTGATGGTGAATATCCTTAAAGATGTCTTCGGAGACAAATTTCACTCTAAAAGAACCTATTGAATAGAGTACAGACTAAAGACTAACGTTGTTAATTATGGCCAATGACTGACAAAGCCTCACTTTTCCCGTAAGAAGATATACAAAGCATTGGTAGAGTCTTAAAACTGCAACATTCTATATTACCAAACAAATAATACTGGTTACTAAATGAAGTTATTCAAACACAGTGATCCATTACGACAAGCCTCAGCAAACAAGTTATTATCCTGTACTGAGTTAAATTTAAATAAGCACTCTTCCAAGGAAAGTTGTGAACCAGTACCCCGCAAATCCTTAGAGATAATTAACATTAATCAGGACAAAAAAATTCAAGGAAAAACTCTATATTAGTAGGAGGAGGCATTAGAGATGACTGATAAGATGATAACAGTACCTGTGTTTTCCATTATTCTAGTACTAAGCAAACTCCACACAGCCTTTTAAATGCTGAAACTTTATGAAATGAGAAAAAACCTACAGTAAACTAAGAAACAAAATCCTTTCCATCTTTAATACAAGATGGCTGCTGCTCTACTCCCAAATGCCCAAATCCTAACAGTACACTACAATAATTCCTTCAAATACTTGCGAATTTAAATGCTTGGCTTGCAATCAGTAAATAAAGGGAGAATAAGGGCTTATCTAAACTGACACTTTACAGCGCTGCAACTTTCTCACTCAGGGGTGTGAAAAAACACCCCCCTGAGCGCAGCAAGTTTCAGCGCTGTAAAGCGCCAGTGAAGACAGTGCACCAGTGCTGAGAGCTATGCCCCTCGTGGAGGTTGTTTTTTTAGAGCGCTAGGAGAGGTCTCTCGCAGCGCTCTGCCGCGACTACACAAGCCACGTTAAAGCACTGCCGCGGCAGAGCTTTAATGTAGCCAGTGTAGCAGGGCTTTGGAGCGGAGCCCAGAGCTGGAGCGCGGAGCAGCTCCGGAGCAGTGGAGCTGCAGGTTTTTGCCTGGAGCTGGAGCGGAGCCGGAGCACAGCTCCAAAGCCCTGCAGTATTAGACTAGCCCTAATAGTTCAAAAACAGGAAACATCTTCAAAAAATGTTTTACTACCCTTCTATGTCTATGCTAGCAGCACTTTACAGGGTACAGGGCTATGGTATACTATATCAGCACAACGTTCCTAGCATGGACACAGCTACACCAGCAAAGCTGCACTTTTTACCAGAATACTAAAGCCATCCCCATTCCATGAGTGAAACAAGTTATGCCAGTAAAAGCACAGTTTTGAAGGTAGTTGCATCTACTCTACAGATTTCTGCCAACACAGCTATGTTCGTCAGGGATCACACTTCTTTGCCTCCTTGACCGACAGAACTATGCCCAGTAGAAGTTTGTAATGTAGACACAGGGAGAGGAAGAGAAAAAGGAAAAAGAGGAATACATTCATGAGTTTGTTCAGATTTGAAAAAGATTATTTTATCAAACTCAACTTCTTGTTATTTAGTGGCAACAAACCTACACTTCTCAAGTGAATATGTACTGAAGTTAAATAGCTTCTTAACTATAGCATCCCTTTCACTACAGCAATTGTCTGAAATCAAAAAGAAAAAGAAATATTCTTAAGACCTAAACGTGCTTCAGAACTAGATACTTTGGTTCTAAGTAAAAGGAAGCCAGATATCTAGAAAAAGGCGTTAGCACTGCATAACCATTCAAAATCACCACAACAAGAGTTGAAAAAAGTGCAAGGAAAGTAAGATTCGTAAAGCTGACCATCTGACAGGAATAGCCGAAAAATATAAATGCCAGAAAACAAGTTACTAAAAGCACTTTCAATTTAGGCCCAACATTTTATTTAATGTTAGAAGTTAGAAAGTATTTTAAAAATCCAACATTGTAATAAAGAAATTTTTAGAACAGCTTTTTACTTGGAGGCCTAGCATTCTAAGTTTCCTAAAGAACAGAATATTAAGCAGCTGAAAAGTCAGTTAAATTTTGCTTCCTCAGCTAACAAAACCTATGCCTAAAAGTGCTGACTAGGGAGCCATAACTATTATTATTATTATTTTAAACAGACTGAGCTAACATTGATGGAAGGGAATTTGTCAGAAACAAGTTGCATCCCTATGTATGCAATTTGTATTGAATTTGAATATATCTGAAAATGGGGAATAGTACAATATTGTATTTTATTCTCTGAACCCTCAGCAATGCTGACAGACCTTCAACACTTGAACCACAAGAGTAACTATATCAGCAGGTGGCAGGAGAAGGCTGTTATTCCAGAGAACAGATGTGCCACTGGGTATACGTGGGAGAAGAACCCTGCCTGGCCTGGCCTGCCCTCTCTCTCTCACTCCCTTCTATCCTGGGAACTGGGAAAGCTCCTGACCCATGTGATGACCTTGGGGTGTAGACAGCCACTGGAGCAGTGTGTTGGTTTCAAAAGGGTGCATGGGAGGAGCCCAGCCTGCTACATCTGCTCCAGTACTTCTCATATATTCTCAATACAGCATGCCGCTTCTGCTGTGGAGGCAGCGTCAGCTCGTCCTTAGAATGCTTGAGATTAATTATTCTTTTGGCATCCCACCAAAATTTTCCTGAGAAACAGCAGGGAGATAGCAATTTTAATCATTTCTATCTCAGCAAAAGCTCAACAGAATTTCATGGGTCAAAGAAAGTCAGTCAGTTGTAACCACAACCCTGTACGTAGGGCGGCCTTGGGACTAATGGCGTTGGGGCAGCGGAGAAGTTTAGCAGCAGCCTAGGCAACTGAGCAGCCCTTTTAAGAGTAGCACTGCTCACCCCTTTTAAGGAAAGGGGCTAGAAAAGGTGCCCTAAACATTGCCTGCCCCATAACATCTGGCCAGACTACCATGACTGGCAGATCATCCTACAGCAGTCGAAAAACAATAAAGAAGAAAAAATCATTGTAGGAGCATAGAATCATAGAATATTAGGGTTGGAAGAGACCTCAGGAGGTCATCTAGTCCAAACCCCTGCTCAAAGCAGGATCCAACACCAACTAAATCATCCAGCAGCATGGAATGTCTGCACCCTTATTGATGGAGGCGATGCACAGAGGCCTGTGAGAAGAACAGCTCTTGTTTCCAGAGAACTTGCCCGCTACGATATTGATATTGCAGCACTGAGTGAGACTGGACTGGCCAGAGAAGGTTCCAGTGAGCTAGTAGGTGATTACACTCTTTTGGAAAGGAAAAGCAGAGGGTGAAGACAGGATCCATGGAGTTGGATTTGCAATAAGAACATCTCTCTTGAAACAACTCGCTGACCTCCCTGTTGGCCTGAATGAACGGCTCATGAAACTTCGATTTCCCCTGAATCCTTTACGGCATGTCTATCATCAGTGCCTATGCACCTACACTGGCCACCACAGAAGAAAGCAAGAAGCAGTTCTACTCTGACCCAGACTCCATCATCAAATCAACGCCTGCATATGACAAGCTCATCCTGCTAGGAGACTTTAACGCTAGAGTTGGTAGAGACAGCAGTGCCTGGAGAGATGTGATAGGACGACTCGGAATGGGAAAGATGAACAGCAACAGACTGCTCCTCTTGGGTAAATATGCAGAACATAATCTGCTCATTACTAACACCATCTTTAGGCAAAATGATAAATATAAAACAACATGGATGCACCCATGGTCTAAACAATAGCCCTGAGGACTATGTTATCACCCGCCAACGAGACATCCGCGATGTCAGAATTTCCAAAGCCATGAATGGTGCAGAATGCTGGACAGACCACAGATTGGTAAGAGCAGTGCTGAACCTGCATATAGTCCCTTTACAGCGCAAGTGCCCCAAACTTAACAGAATAGCCTTCAACATAGCAAAGCTCAAGCATACCACCTATCAGGTGCAGTTTCAGCAGTCACTTGAATTACAAGCTTTTTTCATGTCTGCCAATCACTGACAACCCAACAGAAAAATGGAAACAGTTCAAGCGTGATTATTGACACAGCTAAATCAGTGCTGGGGCCAAAGAAAAGGTACATCAGGATTGGTTCAATGAGAACAACGAGGACGTTTCCAAACTCCTAAGTGACAAGTAGAAAGCATTTGTTGAATGGCAGAAAATTTTAATCTTTCTTTGAGATGGAAGTAAATTCAAAGTACTTACAGAGCAAAGCCCAGTCTGAACTCAGGAGAATGCAGGATGAGTGGTGTGAGAGGAAAGCTGCAGAAGTTCAGCATTATGTAGATACAAACAATGCAAAGATGTTCTTTGACTCTCTCAAAGCAGTCTACGGGACCATCTAAATCTGGCACAGCCCCCTTGAAGTCGGCAGATAGCACAATCCTCATCAAAAACAAGGAGGGAAACGTACAGAGATGGGCTGAACACTTCAATAGTCTATTCAAAAGACCATCCACAGTTAATCGGCATGTCCTTGATCATTTACCCGAAAAACCGATCAAAGAGGATCTCGACCTCC